CCCCAAATTCATCCACGGAGCCCCCTAACCTTCCCCCCGGGACGCCCACCACCCTTCTCAGTGCCTGCTTTTGTACACTACGGACACCACATGATTGGATTTGTACAGGTAGCACGAAGAAAAGTTGCACAAAGTTGGTCGACGACACCCATAGGGAGAAATACCATCACTTCCATTTAACTTTGACGAATCTCTGCACACACAAACGAAAATATTTATAAAGCAGTATTGTTTACTGCTGTATATTGCTAATACTCCGTATACAAGATCGGCACGAAGAAAGGGAAACACGCACCAAGCACACAACACAACCAACCTCGGCCAAGCTGTTAAGCAAAATTTTGTGCAGCACTAAAAGACACACATCATCACTACGCATCGTTCTCGGCCTCTTTTTCCTCTCCCTCCTGCTCCATGGCCCGCTTCTTCTCCTTTTCCTGCTTCCACTTCTTGAATGTCCTTTTCGCCCTCGTCCACGTCCATCAAAATCGCGCCATCATGGCCACCCGAGAGCGCACCGCCAGCGCCTGGAGATGGAAGATCATGTTGCTGCGTCGGCTTCGGTTTCTTCGAAACCGCTCGGTCATCGGCTCCGCGCGGGCCGAACGTCTTCTTCTTGCGACCGTCCCTGAGGCTTCCCCATGGTGCTTGCGTGCGTCTTTGGTGTTTTCGGGCCGCCACGTGTGCGTGTTGTTGTGTGTTCGTCTTGCCCAACGAAAAAAATCTCCCATGGGGACGGCACAACAAAAAGTTGAGTATCTCGGAAACCAGATTTTTCCCGACAAAAACCACAAATACCGACCTAGATATTGAGGAGAGGAATCGTTTGCCGCTGTTTTTTGGAATCGGTCGGTTAGTTATCCCCCGAAAAACAATACAAGTTAGCCCTCTAGATCCGGTTTTTCTCTGATATCTCCGTGAATTTACAATATTTTGACCAAAAAAAAAATACCGACCTGGCAAATCCCGACACCTGTTCAAATCCGTTGAGTTTTTTCGAGTCGGCAAAGGACACACCCCTGCGAAAACAATTCAAGTTTTTCCGGTTTTGCGCCGATACAAAGTCAAGAAAAAAAACAAACAAAAACTCTCCGTCACGCGATGCGCCTGCAAACAGGGCGTTTTCCGGTACTTTCAGATTTCGGAACAACCACCTGTGGGCAGAGAAAAGTTGTCATTTGTGCTGGGAAAATTTTGGATTTTTTGGTGTGCACGGACTATACGTGCAACATGCCGTGCTATTCCAAGAAAGGGAGATGGATAGTCAAAATAATCTTTTGTGCCGGCAAGTAAGATCTCACACGGTGCTACCACTCGTCACACACCGTCTCAACGAACTCCACCTGCATTCTATGGACATGAATCGAACGAGGCTAAATGTGTAACCCAAGTACCTAGAGACACACCAGCGTGTACTTGATACGATGTACGATAACTCGAATCAGTCACAGTTAACACGGAACGCCCAATTCACGGCCAATTACCTGTACAACACGATGCCATCACCCCCCCCCGAAAACCTGTCCACACTGCCTTTCTCGGCGAAGCTCCTGGCGCGGCACGCCGCCTCGACAACATCCAGTCGATGGCCTCTTATCGCGGTCGCACGCTATATCCCAAAAACAACAAAACTTCGCCCCAAGTGCCAGCAGGTGGTACCTTGGGAAGCAACCGCGAGAATGCTAACTCGGAAAATGCCAACAGCGGTGCGCCTTTTCTACCACAAGAATTCCCTCCTCCATCACAAGACACAACGGCGCACGCGCACCCTATGCTACATCTGCTACATTTAAAGCCGCATAACAAAACGTTCAGGCGCTCCAGACCTGCTTCTATATAGGTTGATCAGGCCTCTCTCGTACAGAGTCTCGTGCCGCGCAGGGGGACGTTGGAGCAGTTGACTTTTGTCGCTATAGCGTGTTGGAAACTCGTGACTTCTGGAGAAATATGTGGTGTATATTATTAATGGGAACTTGCCCGGAGAGACAGGTCGGCAAGGTGGAGTGAGCACGGTGGGCTGCGCTCCCCATGGCTTCTCGCTACAGCTTTTCCTCAGCAATAAATCTATTCGCTGCAATCTACTCGCTGCAATCTACTGACCTTTGTGTTGCGTTTCGTTACAATACCAAGTATCACCTACTACACCGCAATACACGTCATACATTCGATACTACAGCCACAATTCACGAACATCAGACCCCCAAGAGGTGAGAGTAGCCGCTGCTCACAATCAAGCTTGTTTCAGCAGCGCCATGGGAAGTGGTGCTGCTGTCTTCGGTAGTGCGAGCGTGGGATACCAAAGCGTGAAGTACACAGCGCCCACGTTCAGCGGAGACGCCAAGAGCTTTTCTTCGTGGCTAGAGTTTTTTTTGATGGCAGCGAACACAGCAAACCTTCTTGAGCTTTTCGAGGAGGGGGGGGCGGAGATCCCCGTAAACAGTGGGCAGAGCAAAGTCTAATTGTCCAGGTTTTACCCGCACGACAAAGTAGAGCTCGCTTTCCACGCGTGGAATTTCCTCCGTGGAGCTCTCAAGGACGAGAAAGACAGGACAATAATGAAGCGAGCTGAGTCGCCCCTGGGGGCGCTCCGTGAGCTGAAGGGGTTGTACGACCCAGAATCGTCCATGCAGCCTGCGGATGAGTTAAAATCCCTGACATCCAAGAAGATCCCGATGGCAGAGAATCCGCAACATGCTCTCAACAGTATGCTCGCCACCGCAGAGTCCCTTTCGAAACGGGGGCTTGATGTTAACGAAACCTTCGTTTTGCACCTCTTCTTGGATGCCCTCTCCAACGAGTACGCTATGACCAAGCACGCCCTCAGACACAAGGAGAGGTTGACAAGGAGTGACGTCCTGAAGGAGGTCACCATCGAATATCGATCGATCATGGAGAAGGTGAAGGCGGGGAAAGGCAAGGGCGCGCGCGGCGCCGAGCAGGCCTACCTCGCCGATGGAGACGGCCGCCGTGGGCGGTCGTCTTGGCGTGGGGGCGGCCGCCGAGGGCGGTCGTCCTGGCGTGGTCGTGGCGGTGGCCGCAGCGGCGGCCGCGGGGGCGGCGACAGCAGCGGAAAAGGCGGTGGCGGCGTCGAGGAGAGCAAGGGGAGTGGCTCTGGTGGGGCAGATGGCGGCGGTACCGGGGACAAGAAGTTCCCGGGCCGGTGTTTCACGTGTGGCCGTTTCGGACACACGCAGCAGGACTGCACCACAAAGGAGAGCGACTACCTCCCGCAGTGCTCACACTGCGCAGGATGGGGTCACAGCAAGGACAAGTGCGCGACGGAGGAGGCCGTCCTGGCGCAGATCGTCCATGCCGACAGCGACGCCGACTCCGTCGACAACCAGGCCTTCTGCGCGGCGCCGGGCCTGCCAGGCGAGTGTGGTGCTGTTGACCTAGGTCTAGTGGGGGTAACGGAACTAGGCCAGGATGTCATGGCGTACGTGGCTCATACAGCAGCCACGTGCTCCNACGCGTTCGTGAACTACCGCGAGTGTAGTGGTTGGGTCAAGGGGATCGGAGGCAACAAGGCCCCCGTTCCTCTCCTAGGGTACGGAGACGTGACCGTAGTCTTTCTGACCGAAGGCGGTAGGGTACCAGTGCTAATCCTGAACGCCGCTCATGTGCCCGAGTCCCCCCACAACCGTCTCTCACTGTCGGCGTTGGCCGAGAAAGGCCACACGTATTCCGGCCAGAAGGGGGGGCTGACTCTCTCTACAAGAGCCGGGGGGAAGGTGTGGTTCCCCCGGACGGATGACCTGATAATATAACCCCTTAGATCTTTTGATGGCTCTAGCATTTTTGTGACTGTTAGTATGTCCGTACTTAGGAGGAGAAGACACGCTTTAACTCTCTCTGATTAGGCACCCGCGGGAGCGAGGAAAGGAAGGGAAGAAG